TCACACTTACCACAGTTATCCTTTCCACGGATTTAATATATTGTTGTTGGGATAATTTTCTTGAATTTTCAACCACCACATTTGATTATCCTGCAACTTAAACGTACCTTTGTGAAGTAGCTGCCAATGTCTTCGGGATATCTCCAATATAGGCAGTAAGGATGGCTTTCATAGCGATCCTTGTATTCAATAGACTCATTAAAAATCTAAAACCACACTCACTAGACCGTGTGATTACAGTGTCCATTATTGACGGCAAAATGGCTTGCTCATTTTATTGGATAATTCATTGTTTCCGAGAGATTGGGGCACATGAAATTTACTATACATTTATTCTGATCTATTTATCATTCGTTGCATGATATTACCATGTTTTGACATATATTGTATACATAATTGTTTGTAGTTATATTGTGATAAGGAACTAGTATTTTCTCTATGCTATATTTGTTTAGTGATCCACAGCTGGGTATCTTATCCCACTCGCATAGTCTTTCAAGTCAGTGAATTTGTTGTACGGTATTTGGGTAAATATAAGGTGTGCATCATTGTGATTCAGATGAATCATCATTAAAGGATGTGTTTTCTGTGTCAGAAGCCCTGGCCATCCATCACTCAACTGGGAGGGTGTTTTTGCTATAACGAATCACACAAGTAGCTGGTTTATATGGGATAATGTACATATGCAATACATGTGCATTATTGGGTTTCTGATTCCTAATTCGTACTTGGTATAGATCATTGAATTTGTATGTTCCCCCATTTTATGAATGTTGTAAAACGTCCTTGGGTTTCACATTCCCAATTCGTCCTCGGTATAGTCATTGTATTGCCTACTGCATTGCTTTTCCGAATAAACCTGAAGGAGATTTGCTGACATGAATTTGTCACTTCTCCGTGAAGTATTTGTTTTAATTATAGATGTATTTAGGAAACTCACGACGTAATTTGAAATTTCAATATACAGATACTGAAAAACCAATCGTCACTTGTCCAGATGACATATCACAGAATGTCGCTATGGGGTCAGCTGTTGCAAATGTGACATGGAATCCTGCAACAGCAAGTGATAATTCAGGATCAACTACTCAGTCATCCGTGTCTAAGTCTCCAGGAAGCGGTTTTGCAATTGGGAGTACTATTGTTTCCTATAGTTTTGTAGATCCTAGCAATAACGTGGGATTATGTAATTTTACAGTAATCATCATTGGTGAGTCCATGGTTTGCATATGTTGTGGTGATTCAAATATGTGGGAAATTATAATATTCTCAGAAGCGAACATCTGGGCATTTTCACCGCCTGGCAACCTAAACCAGTGAAAAAAACGGTCACATTCTTTCAAAAAACGTACTTTGTTCAGGATTGTCTCATAGTTGAATTTATGCTGTTGTACCGGTTATTCAACCGACGTTTCACAGCAGCTCCCAAATGCCCATGGAAATGTATGGTACAGTAGTGCGCCTCTAAGCATCATAAAACGTTCTGTGACGAAGTTCCGCCCCCAAGAATACTATTTAGTGCAATAATCTAAAATCTAATTTCCATAGATAATGAACCTCCAGTCGTAACTTGTCCAGCTCATATAAGACAGGATGCAGACATTGGTGCACTCTTTGCAGTAGGTGTCACATGGAATTCTGCTTCTGCCTCTGATAATTCCGGTACTACTACTCAGATATCTGCTTCACACATCTCGCCAAGCAACTTTTATGTTGGAAAAACGATTGTTACTTATATGTTTGTGGACCCAAGTTCCAACACTGCTTCTTGTTCGTTCACTGTCACCATCATAGGTAAGTATAATACACGTATTAGACTAAATACATTGCCATTCTTACATAATATACTAGGTACTTCACATAAAGTTTCTTGTTCGTAGGTCATCCGTCGTGTAACAAACAGTGCCTAAAGGGTTTCTGTGTACTAGATGAATCAAATAAACCTCAATGTAACTGCGACAGTGGCTACAATCTACATTTAGAACATGACTGGCTATGTCAAGGTATGTTCAACTATATGGTACATATTAAAAATGGTTATTTAACCATTTGACACGTATGCATTGCTAATGCCATATTAAAGTACACATTGATTGTGACAACCCGTCATTATAAATTAGTTTTCAGCAAATTGCATTAGCATAATGTTAGTATGTTTAATGCTTTGATAAAACTGCTTCTAGATATTAATGAATGTGAAAATGAAACCAAGAATGAATGTTCCTATAAAGATGGTTGCCGAAATATACAGGGATCATACTATTGTCTGTGTCCTATTGGTTATGAACTTGCATCTGATGACAGAACCTGTGTTGGTAATTATACAATATATCATACACGTGTCTGTACATTTTTGTAATTGTATACTAAATAAATTGAGTGAATTTCATTGTTAGATTTCTTTAATAATATATTGATTGTCTGGTTGAGTAGTTTATGTGCGTACCTGCATAGCGTGCTTGTATTTATTTATTTATTTATTTATTTATTTATTTATTTATTTATTTATTTATTTATTTATTTATTTATTTATTTATTTATTTATTTATTTATTTATTTATTTATTTATTTATTTATTTATTTTTTTTTATTTAAGATATCAATGAATGTTACTTTGAAGACTGTAGCAATAACGGTGTATGTATGAACACAGATGGTAGCTTTAACTGTACATGTAAAATTGGATACAAAGGACCTTCTTGCAGTGAAGGTATGGCACATTGTTTGCAAACAAATTCAAACATTGTCCTAATAAACTTGTCTTCATACGTGACATGTGTCAGAAACTTTACTTAGCAATATGTACATTTGGTAACAAATATTAGTAAGTATCTTATTGTTGCTTAAAGTTATAAACGACAAGCGAAAGTATCTAATAGACGATATAAGAACTCTTTTGGGAAAAACTAGCATATTTGGCGGGAGACAAATTAAGGTTGTTATCTGTATCAACCCACGTGGGTTTATAGTTTTATTTAGTTAACTGGTATTCTAATTCATTTAAGGGGTTATAACTGACCCGTCGTATAGTGCTCGTTCTGCAGTCCGTATTCGAGTTCCAAGGCTCTCCATAGTACATTCACATATATGGGTGAGACGCATAATAACATTGACAGCATTTATAGTATATTTTAACGGTCTAGCAGTAATACCAACCATATTCCCGCACATATGATTTTATGCATTTACGCTGAGTTACAAAACAAAAAATAAACCCGGCGAGTGACTGGGTGTTCGATGCGAAAGCTTTGCTACAATAAACGGACATCATGGGTTGTTTCTCGCAAAATGCGCAATATATTAGTGTTTTTGGCCATGATACTAATTCGCATTAGTACGTGTACAATGTTGTATACCAGTAATCACTATGAACAGTGATTGTGATGTAGATTCAGTCAGATATTTAGGCCAGTTTATTTAGTTCCAGCACTGGGTCACAGTTCTTCTAGACACGAGACATGGCTCTTCATGATATATTATAACATATTGACTATATTGCCTTCAGATATTGATTATTGCCAATCGGATCCATGTGTTCATGGCAACTGTACAGACGGTAGTGTAACATACACTTGTCAATGTGAGGATGGGTATACAGGACTACAATGTAATGAAGGTAAATTTACCACATTATTAACTAAGTTGTCAGCCACATGTATAAGTAATTATACTGTATAATAATATCAAAGTAATTCCTTCCTTGCACAAGATAAAACGTAACCATTTCCGTCAAATCAGTTTGTATGATATTCATATGTAAGCTACTACTACTGTCAATGTGTATCGTCGACATAACTATCGCGGATTCAACATACAAACAAGCGTGTTGATTTTCAAACATTTCAATAAATTTAAAAAAATGCAATTTCGTATTTGAACAAATAGGGAATTTGTAACACGAGTGTGTGTTGGTATGACACACATTCACCCTCTTACAAACTCACTATGTTCGTAATAATATGGTTTATTCAGTAATGAAGCTATCCTACATGTTTATGTTTAATATTGAAATTATTATTATCGCTAATATAGATGTACTCGAGTGTGAAAGTATGCCTTGTCAAAATGGGGGTGAATGCATTGAACAAGTAAACGGGTATGAATGTAATTGCGATAGTGGATGGACAGGAAGACACTGTGAAGAAGGTATGTATAGACACATGCATTACAAGTAAGTGACTGTTTAAAAAAAAACAAAAAACTTAGTGATGCTTTGACAGCCGCTGTTGTTGTTACATAATTATTGTATTTATCTCAAATGTAAACACAGATATGAACGAGTGTTCGTCAATTTCTACACATAACTGTCAACATAAATGTCATAATGTATTGAGAAGCACTGATGACCGAGGATTTACATGTAGCTGCATAGACGGATATGAACTTTATGATAATGAACATAACTGTGAAGGTAAATCATATTCTGAATATTTACCATTATAAGTAATATAATCATTAATGATAAGACACTTGAAGAGCGCAAATCTCTGGCATAGCTGCAAAAAATAAAAGCTATCTTTACTAATACGTCTACTCTATTGTATTTACACTATAACATTATAAAATATAATAACATACATTTTCAGTTTTGAATAATAATTTATACATTCGTCTAAAAAAACAACAACATTCGAATCTGGTGAAAAATCCAACAAACCGTTGATGTTTCTATTTCAATGTACTCCTAAAACCACGTCGATGTTTGTTTGTCTGAAGAGACCTCTTCTAAAATCATTAAAATCGTCATTACCCTTTTAAGTTGAACAAAATTCTTGGTTTTGTGGCAATGGGATCCAGATCTATCTCTGAATGACCCTTGTATTTCATGAAACGTCATTTCAATCGTTTGAGTTTAGAAATGAGAAATAATTCCAACATTACTGTTCCTTAGTAACCATATGCAGAGCTCTCTTCCAACATTTATTCAGTTGGTACTTAGATCTAAGTTAACCCTCCTAAAAATTGCATGAAAATACGTTGATATCGTTTTTTAGGTATCAATGAAGAAGCATTCCCTAACTGGCTCTTTCCTTGGTAATGAGATCGAAAACCAAGTGATTAGTCCTCGTGTGCCACTTTTAACAATATCACGAGAAATTGCATCTTATTAATATTCATTCCTGAAATTGCTGTTGTCATGGAAACCGGTTCAGTAAAATATAATCGATTGATTATTGTGTTGGAGGATAGCCCTTTTTAAATTAACCTGTGAATCCATTTGTATCTGTTTGAGTTATAATTGAGAACAACTTCCTAAAATGTGAGTTTCCATGGAAGCGTTTACATCTCTATCGAAATCTAATCAATTCTTTTTAGAATTACATGCTGACAGAAAAAATGTATTGCTTGAGAAAATAATAGATAACTGAAATAGAACCCGTAAGCATCAGTCTAACTGACAAATAGCAAATATATTTCTTTTATTGCATTTGTATTATTTTGTCTTCAGAAATAAATGAATGTGCATCAAATCCTTGTGACAATGGAGAGTGTATTGATGAAGTCAATCAATATTTTTGTATATGTTTACTTGGATGGACTGGTACTAACTGTGAAACAGGTACAGTAGTGTTTCACCACATGGTATATACATTCAATTTACATGCATATTATACAATCACCGTCACAAAGCACATGTGATATCACTACAGTGGCGATGGGTATGGTTTTTGATGCGTGTGTATATGTTCGTAACATGTCTGTAATTATAGTAGTCTCTCTCAGATATTTGTAATTTGGTGGTTATACACCCGTCTATAGTTAAATCATGACTGAGTTGGACTGCTTACTGTTTTGTATTGTAATAGTCACGGTTTGCCTGGAACTGAAAAAGTAATCCAACAAATGTAGGATAACATAAATGCTCTGCCCATGTGACTCATATTATTCTTTCTTTTTATATTTATTAGATATTGATGAATGTTTTGAGGAGACAGATGAATGTGATGATAATGCCAACTGCCAAAACGCTGTAGGGAGTTATACATGTACGTGCAAGGATGGATACAGAGGAAATGGTTTCAACTGCTATGGTAAATACTCCCTTAGTAATACTATACCAAGATATTCACAAACTTATTTTGACGCATTATCACCTTAATAATTATTGCATTACAATGTCGAAGGTTAACATCCTGCATGTTTTTTTCAAATTAATTAAATTGAATGAAGTACATTTTTAAATTCAACTACATAAACATATTTCAGAGATAATACTTTTCCCATTTGGTACCGCCATTGAAGATAAAAAGTTGAGACAGACATATGATAAAGCAGTAACAGACTCTACGGCAGACCTATATGACTTGATATCGCCGACTATAAAACCTCCCGTCGGTTTTCCCTTCATGGGTCAATTCTACTACAGTTTGTATGTGAGTATAGTCTACACAAGACTGCAAATATAGTTAAAATCACTTACAGTATATACATATAAAGATTGTTACAAGTATAATACACTATTTAAAATGAATTAGGTTTAAATAAACAATTATTGATTTCTAGCAAATAAACTGTGTCTAACCACATTTAATACATTCCTTCAGTTTACGGACAATGGGTTAATAGTTTTCATGAATGAAAATGACGAGAAAAATGCATATGCACATCCTTCTGGCATATTCAATTCCTCACATCAAATACCAATGGTTGCTGCATTTTGGGAAGATGTGGATATGTCGGACGCTAATATAGGAGAAGTTTATTATCAGGTATGTTATTTTTTCTGTTTTCCAACTTATTCACCTTATTAACCCCACAATTGTTTTGCCGACATTGATATGTGTCTGGGAAAATTTAGATTCGTAAGATCTGGTTGCCCCTGAGACAAGTACAAATAGGTAAGATTAGGAGAAAGATTTAAATATGTTTATCTTAGTTACTGCAATTATGTTTCATATAATGTCACTGGCTTTGCTGCTGTAGTTGAGTTTTGTACCATCGGGGTACCTTATGGTATAACCATGGGTTATAGAGCGTGTCTTTTATTATGTATACACATATTCAGTGATTACTCAATACTACATTTTTCTCTATTTTATATTCTTTTAATACTTTTTACGAATAGATTTATGTGATGTCTTACAGGAATATAGCTATGATAGCAGTAATCATAACTTGTTTGTTGATGTTAACAAGCGCATATACAATATTTATGGTGACAACGATTCAGACGGCCCTGGTAATTTTAATGCAACATGGATCCTGAAAGTTACCTGGTTTGAAGTTGCTGATTTCAGTGTTAAATACTCAAGAAATTATGTAAGTATATACGGTGTATGTATGCGGGCTCATTCACGACATTAAATACGTAGTACCCGTACTCATAAACTTTTTTTTAGTTAACTGACAAATTGATTCTAAGAAAACAAACAAGCAGCTTTAAAATCACAATATTTTATTGTAGCCAAACACATTTCAAGCACTTCTAGCAACAGATGGTATCTTTGGGTTTGTAATACTGAATTACAAAGAGCAAGAGATGAGGTGGAAATATGCGAACAAAAAAGAACACAATGTTGTTTACGGATACAACAGTGGTGCCGGCCAAATTATGAACTTACACACTGGTTTCAACATCTCTGAACGATACCGGCCAGATTTACAAATAGGTAACACTGGTTTACAAGGTCGCTGGATAATACGACTGGAAACTAATACGAAAAGTACCGTAAACTATAAGAAACGATGTTTGGATTGGTATAATTTGCAACCTCCACCAGAAACATGGAATAGAGGATTGAGTGGATGTCCATGTGGATTCCAACAAGGGGAAAATGACAACTCATTTGGACGAGGAAATCAACCACCACCATCGAATAATGGTCTTAGTGATGATGAACGGAATCATGGAGTGTCGGACGAAATACAGCAAGGCATTAGTAGAAGAAGAGGTACAAATATTATACAAATATAGACCGGCATAAAGATCAAATGCTCTTTAAATCTTTACCTGGTACTAAAGAAATAGCGGCTCACGAACACATTGATATCATAATGGGCCTTTTGGTCACTCAAAACACCCTGGATGAGGGGTATAGTATATTTGGTGATGCAAACACAAGAGAGAACATACTAAACTATACTAATAGACATACCTCATCCAGTTCATACTAAACTCAGAGAGCGTGTGTATGTAAACATTTTAGTTCAGTTAACAGTTTAACATATTACATACCCAAAGTGACGTTCGAGAGTTTTTTTTTTCATTTTTCTCTTTTCACAAAGTGCATACTTCCACTTGATCACGAATTTGTTAATGACAAAACACAATTTGTATAAAAACCCAAATGCTGACCATACGTTTTGGTATATTTATGTTAGGCTGGAGCTTTACTCTACAAACGGCAAATTCCAATCCACATGGGGCAGGAATGCAATGTGCGTATCGAGGAGAAGATCACTCGTTGGTTGAAGGGTATGATGGTGATGTTTGGAGAAGCAGCTTTCAGGAAAGATGGCAGTATATATTCCGTGGTTGGGGTTGGTGGGCAGACTTTTCACCCGAGATGTATTGGCTCTGGTTAGGTAAATGTTGTATATATGTGTTATACT